ACAAATGCCCCACCCCGCACTACTATATATGACCCCGGATCGGGCAATCCCTGACGGGATGAGTTCAAATTGTCATCAGTACTACCAATTTTATTATAGCTTTAAGTTTCTGTTGCAATTGTCTTAACACTTTTACATCATTATTTTTATATTTTGATATAAAACACAACATCATGTGATGCGCTATCCGGTCTGGTATCGGTCCGGGTTATACAGTCCGGTTCCGATCTGGTCCCATATGTTATTAAACTAAAATCTTAGCCCGAAAACGGGATTGGATTGTTTGCTATCCGATCCCAGTCCGGTCTCGGTCCGGATTATACGGCCCAGTTTCGAGTAAAACCAAAAAACCAAGACCAAATAGTTACCCCTAGTTTTCACATCGTAACTCCATAAAACAAAATCAACATAACATGCAAAACAGAATACTAAAATGAACGGGTCAAATAGTCGCAGTAAAGTGTGACAGGTAATCTAGTTTTTTGTATAAGATCCATTCTAGAGAATATATATATATATGGATGCAATGGTTCTTTGAGAATGATCCAACAATTATTGAAACAGTGATTTTTTTTTTATGTGAAATCGAAAAATTCCATTAAGCATCGGCAACCATCAAAGAAAGTTTGATGTGCCTCTCAAACGGTTACAAAGGACCGGTCAGAAGCTGCCGCCACACCCACGTCCCAGCAGATGAACAGGAAAGTTCCCAAAAGCTCTTCTGCTTCAACCATTTAAGTGATTTTCTTTTCCTAACCATTTAAGTGATTTTCTTAATTTTCCTAACCTTTTTGTCAGAAAAACCGGGAGTTATATGAGGAGAAGATATAATAATAAAAAAATGTGAAGGTTGATGGTGTGGTGGGAATGGGAACGTTATCAGTTTCAAACATGGCTGCATGAGACGCGTTAGTGAAGCCATGAGGTCGAAGGGCCAAATTTTATATTCTTCCAGAGTAGAGGGTTTGCTGAGCAGATGGATTGCGTTTTATATGTACGTGGTTGACTTGCCATCCGAAACAAAGTCTTACTCTTCTCATCAACAATGCACATGCGATGCACTGCAAAGTGCAAACCCAGTGATCGAGAAATCACAAGATAGGATTCTTTTTGCACTGACAGCAGATGCTCTGCTAGCTACACAATCTCAGCGTTCCCCATCAAGAAAAAAAGGTTTGCCTTGCCTGTGCACCGCTCTACGTACTAAGTACTAACTTGATCTGCCAACTATTATATGATCACGGCTTTGACGCTGACATATGAAGTCTTTGTCTTTGTCTTTGTCTTTGTCTTTGCCTGATTCTTATTCTTATTATTATTTTATTATTATAAAAAAGGGGTTGTTAGTAGGCACAATTAATTAGAGTTAAATCAATTAGATATTTTATGAATTAGTTTTAGTCAAATATTATCAATTAACCAAATTTTAAGTGCGTAAATTTTTTAGTTGAATTCACCCTAATCTATATTCAACCTAATTCAGTAAGAACAACGCGTAGTGAGTTCGGTCTTGATGAATTTTGGGTTGGATCAAGTTTTATCCGCTTTTGTAATTTACGGGTTGGGTGTGGGATTTTGTCAAAAATCAGCTCGATTTTCATCTGACTCACACCTAAAAAACAAAACACCAACCCGGTCAAAACTGGTAAAATTTGGTGTTGACGAGTTTTGGTTCGAAGCGACTTTTACCCACTTTTGTAATTGACGGGGTGGATTGAGTGTGGATCTTTGTTAAAAAAATCTATCCGCTTTGCATCAGACTCGCACCTACAAAAATCAATCTGGTTAAATTGGGTTGAATTCAGTGTTGATGATTTTTGGTTCGGGAGCGATTTTTACCCGCTTTGTAATTGACATGATGGACCGAGTGTGGATTTTTATAAAAATGCGGTTCGAGTTCCATCCAACCCATACCTTACAAACAAAACAATTGACCTTATCAAATCGGGTTGAACCTAATATCGACGAGTTTGCGATCGGAATCGAGTTTTATCCGCTTTTGTGATTGACGGGTTGGGTATGGATTTGTTAAAACTCACACAAAAAACAAAACTATATATGCCATCTTATGAACGCATGTCCAACCTAATTTGACACAGTAAGAGTATGTTGAACCTGTTGACAAGTTTTGGGTCGGGAGCGAGTTTTATCGCTTTTTTAATTGGCAGGTTGGATTAGGTGTCGATTGGTTAAAACTTGGTTCACTTTTCAACGGACTCTAAAAAAAATGTCACATTCCCCGTATAACTTACGCTCTGTACCATTTGATAACACATTTCTATAGTGAGATCAGAGATGATATATAGCTAGTGTTTAAAATGATTATGTAATAAATTCATAATATCAGTAACAACCTTAATTATCTACTAGTTTTTTGGCCCGCGCTTCGCGGCGGTTATAAACTAATAATTTTTAGTAATAAAATATCAAATAAATTATTCCCAAAATATTTCAAGTTAAGTACTTCTATAAGTTTTAATTAGTATCTTAATTATTATAAAGGACTCAGTTAAAACATTTGTTTGATTGATGCAATAGAAAATAACTATCCCTTCAACCTTTATAAGTTTTACATATATAATAGATATCCCTTCAACCTGTTATTATTTTAATAACTATTATAGAACGGTGTTATGTAATCTTCATAATGTTTGGTTTAATAATAAAACCAAGTTACAAATACCACATTTGATTCAACTATTATATAATGTTGAGTTATCTTACAGAAGCTTTCATTCGTTTAATCCAAATTGATGAGATGATCAATAAGGTCAGTAATAACAAAGAAATATGGTTAATAATAAGTCAATTAATTTGTAAAAAAGTATCACATTTGATTAATATATTATGTAATATAACAAATAATGTACCTTAAAAACCTTTATGTAAAGCAATTGATGAGATAGTAAAAAATTTAGTACTAATTTAGCAATTTTCAAACTTATATCACAAAAGACTTAAAGTGATATGTTTGTTTAATTGGTAATATTTTCGTATGGCCTGAACTTTGACCAAAATAAACATCCTGGCAAATCTTTTCGATCTATAACATCCTGGCCCGAACTATACACGAAAATAAACAATTTGGCAAAACCCGATGTTTGACCGTTAACTTGGACGATCAAACGCGTTGACTAACGGTCAACGCGTCACGTCACTACCACGTTACTGCCAAGTCAGAAGATCTGATAAATATTTAATTATTTCTTTTTTTATTTTTGATTTAACTAAGGTGTTAGATGATTTTTTTAATTTATAATAATTTATAATTAGGGAATGTGTGGTAATTGTGAATTATTTTAAATATTTTATGCTGACTTGGCAGTGACATGGCGCGTTGACTAACGGTCAACAAGTTTGACCGTCCAAGTTAATGGTCAAAATTCGGATTTGGCCAAATTGTTTATTTTGGTGTATAGTTCGGGCCATGATGTTATAGATAGAAAAGATTGATCAGGATGTTTATTTTGGTCAAAGTTCAGGCCATACGAAAATATTAACCCTTTTCTTTATCACTTGAGTTTTCTTTGTTTCTTTTTGTATTAGCTTTTTTCTATTTTAATAATAAAAATCACACAGTAACATAAAAAATGTGCAATCCTTACAAGAAAAATATACAAAGTAACAAATACATAATGTACAAACATTATAATTAAAATGAAAAAATTAATTATTTACAAATCATAATATAAAATTGTACAGATCGTATCATAAGTATGTACAAACTAATATTACCATGTATACAAAATACAATTGCTTACCATACAAATCGATTTGAAGTTCTATACAAATCAATAGTACATAGTATACAAACTATATCATAAAAGTATAAAAAACAATATTAAAAAGTATTAGAACCACAAAATATAAGTATACAAATCATGTAAACATTACATACAAAGGTTACTAAAATCAGAAAATATCACTACTAAATATTACAAAGTATACAGACCACATCATAAAAGTATACAAATTAATATTACAAAGTATACAAACCATATCATAAAGTGGACAAATAATACTAACATTGTATAAAAAGCATACTAACTGTACAAATTACAACTACTTACAATACAAACCAATAATACAAAGCATACAAATAAGAAGTATACAAACATTACAAATATGGTTGATAAAAATGACAAACATGGTGAACAAAAATAACAAAGTTTACTAACATTACAAAAGAAACCAACAAATATTACAAAAATAACAAAACTTACAAACAGTACAAACCTTACTAATCATACAAAAAACCACTACTTATAATACAAATCGATAAACTGAAATTACACACCAATAAATACAAAGTATACAAAATAAACAAACAAACATTATAAATTACAAGATATAGAAATTATTCATATAAACATTATAAACATAATAGATAAAAATGACACACTACTATAATAACGATACCAATCGAATTAATACAAATTTACAAACCAGATTTACAAATATTACAAAATAATCATAACAAGCGACCTCTCTCTCGTACAGGAGCTTTGGAGGGAAAATTCCCAATTCCCTACAAACAAAGGATCGCCAGGAACAGGAGCTTTGAATGGACAATTGGGAATTGAGGACCGCCAGGAGGAATGCGCAACTGGTCGGCAGTTTCTTGGCCGGAGAAATCCCAGCGCCGGCGGAGTTGCAGAGTCGTCATCGGAAATCACTCATAGATGCGGAGGGATGGAACGTGAATAAATAAATAATTTTTTAATAATTAATAATTAAAAAAATTAACCATGCAATTACTACATTACCCTTTCTTAAATTGAATTAATTGGAGTCATTGGATTTTAATGAACTTAAAGGGCTGAGATCGACTTAGTCACTTGACCTTAGCCCCAATATATGGGGTAGCAACTGATCAGACCGTCTAACAATTCCGAATCCGAATATACAGTGGGAAAAAAAGTATTAGGTTGGGTTTCCGCCTCCTGGTCGGGCTAGCCATTTTGTATATAAGTAGCCACCACCGGGAGTAATCAACTAAGGAAATTGGAAACCTGCACTCGCCTTGTACCTATAGTACTTACTGTTGGACGACTGCAGTACCACAATAATGTCGACGTCAACATACGAATGCCAGCCGCAGTATAATTTTGCGCTTCTGATCGATCGTTTCACACATATTTTGCTGTGGAGTCCCGTTGTCGTCATTCTAGCAATCGTTTTGTTCCTCTACTGGATGGAGCACCGGGAAAGGCAACCATTGGGAGACGTGGAGCAAGGTTTCCACGGGTATAGAGTTGAGATCTTCAAGAAAACCCAAAGAGATCAAGGAGACGGAAGAAGATCATCATCAGCGGAAGAATGTGCGATTTGCATGGAGGAGTTTGAGGACGGGGACGAGCGAAGCCTTCTCACGGCGTGCTGCCATGTCTATCATACAAGCTGTTTACAACGTTGGCTCGCTGAAGCCTACAAGAGGAGCTGTCCCCTTTGCCGCGCCCACATTGTTACTCATGATCGTGCTTACGGTGAATCAAGCGAGGAGATCATCAACAATCATCTTGAGCATCAACTGCGGTGAAAGGCTTCTTCAATTCAAGCGCCACATCAAGCAAGGTTTTGTTCCTACCGAGTAGACCTCGTGATGCATGACAATTTTTATAGGCTTATAGCTAGGTGCTAGGAGTGTAATGATGATGTAATTTTTATATATGTTGATTTGATATAAAGATGTTTTGTTATATATGTATGAAATTCCAACACATAGGTACGTAGGAAAAATTTTACGTTCTTCTCTTATATCATCATCAACATCATCATTCCTAGAGGGGTGAAAATATACTACCATCTTTTGAAAAGTTATAGACCAAATTGGTCGACACAATGTTCTTGGATTGTACATCGTTATTAATATTTTTGTTTGATATGCGGTCTGTTGTTCTGATTTCCTCACTCATGTTCAGATAATGATTTATTAGATCAGATCACAAAACCCATGTATTTTAGATTTTAGTAGCCCACTGGTGGGCTCTTCTCATTCCCCAAGACTCAAATCTCAACCCTAATTCTGTAAATCTTGTCATGTCCTCCACGCTAGCACCACACTCCACTAGAAACCAGAGAGGACTATATATAGCTTCTCCACATGACATTATATTATTCATGGTTCAAAAAGGCACGCCTAATCTTACGCTTAGGCGCAAGGCAATGGCAAAACGTCTCGTCTAGGGATTTCGCGCCTAATTAGATACCGGAACACGTTAATGGAGTACGGCGACATATAAGTCTCTCCTAAACATTACTAGATGGAGCTAAGAAGTTAATATTAAATACCAAAATTAACATCAACTATGAAATCAATTACCTATTGCAATATTTTCAATAGCTCAAGAACTTTGTGAAACTATGGAGCTATGATTCTATGAACTCGTAAGCTATATTCCTGTCATTAAGTGTTGAGTAAGTTATTAATCATTTTAACTGAAGTGAGGAAATGTTGTAGATTATTATTTCATTCATCATGCACTGCGAATAACTATTTTCTTCCAACGCCTAGACACGCTTAGTCAATGCCTAAGCGAACTAGGCGCAAGGCAAAGGCTCAACGCCCGCCTTACGCCTAGCGCCTTTTTGAACCTTGATATTATTATTTATGATGTTGAGGTGGAAACTGAGTTGCTCTGACTTCCAATCTTTGTAATTATTTGCTTGAATTTATGATATTATGTTAATATTTATGATGTTAGTAAGTACTAACGTCTTGAAGAATCATGCACATCCATATAAGTAAAGAGATGGAAAAATGATGCATACGGATAGGAGGAACTTGTAAATCTAACATGCCAAATCCAACAAAAGTCCCACACTGATTCGGTTGCATTTAAAGACACTCCTTTCTGCAAGTATTGCAAGAAGGATAATCACCCTATTGTTGATTGTTATAAGCTGAGAGAAAAGAAGAATGAATCTAGCTAAGGTCTTTTCTGGGTTTGTTGACCAGAGTCCAGATACAAGGAGTAGACGTGTCAACTGGATAGAATTTTATTTGAGCTAGAAAGTAGAAACTACTTTGGTTGCAATAGGGAGCAGCACACTCTAAGCTATGATGGAAATTGGGCTGGTTGCCAAGACTATGGGCTTTTACGTTCTTTATAAGAATTAAGAAGAGAGCCATGGTGGGCATGGCCCATAGCCCATAGGCTTATATTGAGTCCCTATAGTTGTGTTATATATTTAGATGTTTAAAAAAATAATGTAAGAATACATAGTAAACGAGCTTCAATACTATATAGCATTGTAAAATTTCTCTTGAAAACTGAGATTCACTAATATAATTTAGATGTAGAAGTAAATTCGATCCTTCTCTTAGTAACATAAGTAAGAAGAAGGGGGGAAAACATAAGTAAGAAGAGAACTTTTCGCACCAGCTAGCTACTCATTTATAAGTCGGAAACATACACCAAAATTTGGAAAACAAAAGATAGAAATTCATCCTAACATATAGCCGCACAGAAAGCAACTCAATAGAGAGAAGTCGAATTAATACCCGACCATTGGATCGAAATAATAGCGTAGTCATGATACTGCTGGATGATGAATGTGCAGGTCGTTGAGCTTACTTGATGCTGCAAATATAAATGCAATTAATTGATTAGGTGAAGTCTATAATAGTAACGATCGAGTTAACCCAAAAAAAAAAGCAATATAATGAACTCAACTAGTTTACGTACTCTTTACACTGAAGATTCTTGGAGAGCTTGAAAGGAACGTTGACTCTGCAGTTTTCAGGAATCACGTTCAACCGGCTCTCCACCAAGTTCAGCATAGGCGTCTTGAAAATCTTCTTCAGGCACTTGCAGGCTACCTCCTTATCCTCAGCCGTCTTTGCTTTGTCGGAAAGGGTTCGCATCCCGTTGCAGCACTTGGGCGGGACAGTCTTCTCGTCGCCGTTGCCTCTCGCGTAATCCAGGCATGGCTTCGCACTGTGCGTCACGTCGTCGCACGAGATAGCTGCTGCATTGCTCCCAGTAGCGCAGTGGCAGATCATCAAAACCAGACAAGAAACGGCCATGCTGTTGAACACCATCATCATAAGCTTGGTCCAAGGATTCATTCTCTGAATATCTTTCGCTTTTTGGGTTTGGATGGCTGCTGTTTTTGTTGTTGATAAGTTCGGATGGCTGCTGTTGGTTAGCTAGCTAGCTTTTGGGTTTATATAGAGTTGCTTAATGATCGATCATGAGGAGTTTTGATGATTTGGATTGTACGATTACTTGTTTTGTTTTTTGGTTTGGTTGCAGAATATATATTACTTACGTCTTCTTTATTAGTACTTAACGTATTAGTTGACTATAATTTATGCTAACTAATGACCTCTAGTGTGGATGTCTTATAATTTGTTATTATTCCCTTCTCTAGCTATGCTAGGATACTTTAAGTTTTATACGTACAAAACACTATCTCTGTTTCCTTAACTAACCGGATTGTACGACTGAATCGGAAAAATTAGTGATTTATGGTTCAGTTGTTGACCATTGTACAATCGTTGGTTGATTGTTGATAGAAACGTTCATATATTATAACATAGAAGACGTATAATACAATAATTTAGAACAAAATTTTTCACTAATCATACTCAATTTTAAATTTATAACATCCATTACCAAAAGTTCTAACAAATCATTCAAAAATTTCTTTTTCCATTTTATCAAATTTAAGTTAGTAATTGGGGTTGACAATTAGTAGTACACCACACAAATCCAACATAGAGGTTGAGAAACGTAGAAGAGGAAGGAGAAAGAAAATTAGTAAGTGTAGCGTTATTTTAATTAATATATTTCACTTTTACAAAAAATAAAATAAAATTAGTAAGGAGTGTAAGTGTGACCCTAAATGCCCACTGACCCGCCCCGACTCTGACGGCCGGCTGGGTCAAATTGTCTACAAGATCAGTTTAGGATCAGGTCATATTTTGACCTTGTATGGGTCGGGTCAATTTAGAATCGAGTCACGTTTTGACAATGTGACTCTTAACAACAACAAGTGATGTAAAATTTCTCATACCAACACATTGGACGTATTTGTAAACTTTTAAAAGTTTAAGTACTAAATAGTAAAAAATAAAATTTGGTACCAAAACATAAATTTACCATCAAAATTTATGACTCGCCACATATACACAGTGAATTAATCCCGACTAGAGCCCAAGTTTTTAAGCTCTAGCCTGGTGCAGCACAGGGGAAGTATGTTTTAATTGTCAAACCCGGGTCGGTCTATGTAACCCTACTTCAATCGCTTAGGTTGTTATCTAGCAAACATTTTTGGGTTTAATACTAAGAAAACTACAAATGAAACAGAACTCTAGTGTGAAGGCTGTGTTTATATACCGCGAGGCGGGTGCAACAAGCTAGGAACGAGCCCTCCTAGTCGATCAATCAAGGATTGCTACAATAAGCTAGCGAACCTAGCTCTCTTAACCGCTTGGCTAAGGATTGCAACAATAAGCTAGGAGGCCTAGCTCTCTTAATCAAACAAACCGAGGAAACCCTAACTCTCTTAGTTGACCAATTAAGGATTGTTGCATTAAGTTAGTAGACTAACTCTATTAACCTTTCGGCTAAGATGACAACAATAGGCTAGACGATCTAGCCCTCTTAACTAATCAACTAAGGGTTGCAAGACCCAACCCTCGAAAGTTAATCCGGACGACGGAGAGCGACCAACCATGATGGGATCATGGTACTACTCTGATACTTGACGATTTGGCCCTAAATTAACCCAAAAGGCTTAATCCAAGTGGCTAGGAGATCAAGCTCCCTATGGGCCAAAGGGAGATTTTCACCTTCTAGGTTAATTTGACCCAATAATGACATAAAGCAAGCAACACCCAATCATTTATGATTAGTACCTCAAATATTACATCCATACACACATCTAGACAAAGAAAACAACAAAAACGAGAGAAAGAACCATGTAGGGATGAAAATCTTCCTTCCTTCTTGCTTGAATCTCCCTTGAGAAGAAGAGATCTTCAATCCTCTAACTTGAATTGAACCCAATCTCCTTCTTCCTCCTTTGAATGACACTTTCTCTCTCTAGAATGGGAAGTAGAAACCCAAATCTCTCACTAGAAAACCCTCTTTATTCTGAAAACTAAAACCCTAGAAAAGCTCTCTCTCTTCCTCCTTTCAGCTCTCTATTTATACCCAGTCGCACCCAGTTCACGGTTCCAGTTCAAGGCCGTGAACATCACGCCGTGAGCGTGAACACAGATCAAAACACGTCGCTTAACTTAAGGAGTTCACGGTCCATGGCTCCAGTTCACGGTCTTACGACCGTGAATTGCCTTGATGTTAGTAACCTATGAAACTCCTCTGGACGCTCTGCGGTTCACTGTTTGTGGTTCCTGTTCACAATCCTGACCACCGTGAACTCCAAGATCTGTCCGTGAAATACAGATTCTTTCCTGGGCACCTGCGCTTCACGATCACGAGGCAATTGTCACGGTCGCGGGGAAATCAGACTTTTCTTCGATTTCTGAACTTTTTGACCTCCAATCGTCGCGAAACTTGTCCTTGACCCTTCCACGCGTGCTAAAACCTGAAATGTATCAAAACAAGCACAACCTAGCGTGAAATATGTCGAGGGACGATGAAATGCAAAGCCAAACTATCAAGAAATGAGGGATAAAATGTGTACAATTGGACCCTAATCAATTTAAAGACTTATTTGTAAAAAAAATAGGTACTAAATTGTAAGAAAAATAAAATTGGGTACTAAAATATAATTTGTCAAAAATTTGTGGGTTAATTAGGGCCGACTCACGGAGCTCACCCTCTCTGACCCAAAAGGCTAGACAAGGTCAAGAAGGAAACAGGCACATGGCGGGTCAGTTATATATCTTAACCCTTCAGGGGCGGGTCTGCCAGGGTAGGAGAGGGACAAGATAGGGTCGGGACACTTTTCAACCCTAAATCAAGGATGGATGGTCTTAGTTTACATTATAAAACTTCTTACACTTTTTGTGGTGAAAATAATGAGCTAGAGGACCTATTAAATATGAGTGGTTCATCTGATTTCATATCCAACTGTTAATAAAAACCATCTGGTCCATCCCAACCATCCAAATAAATGACCTAAACATAGCGATTCTAGAGGTGTTCCACAATGGACAATGGTTAGGGTGCTAATAACTAATTTATTAGCATGATGCTAACACCTAATTTGTTAGCATGATGCTAACACTAGCTCCAACCAATAGCAACTCATTTTGATGATTTTTTTATTCCAAGGGGTTGACTACAATTAATGCCGATCTGTAAAGGGAGGGGCACACGTGTGGCGCTAGTCAATAATTGCACGTTTTGCGTCTCGCCACTGGTATCATGAAGCGGACCACAAAACATATACCAGCAATAGAACAAACCATACCACAAATAAGTAATAACATAAAGAATACTAGAAAGCTTATAAAGCAGACTAGAACATCACTACCACAAAATTCATAAACCTTATAAGTAAACTCAAAGCAGACCACAAGTTTCATAAAGCATATAAGAAAACTCAAAGCAGACTACAAGTTATCTAAAACATACAAAAAACATTATAAATCATACCACGAGTTCCCTGAAAGCAAGCTATAAACCTCATAAAGCATAACACAAGTTTCCTGAAGCATACGAGAACCGCATTAAACATACCATAAGTTTCATAAGCATATAAAAAACCTCATAAAGAAGACCACAAGTTCACTAAAGCAGACCATAAGCCTCATAAAGCTTACCACGAGTTTATTAAAGCATACCACAAGTTTCTTAAAACATATCAGAAACCTCATTAAACATACCACAAGTTCCCTTAACCAGACTAGAAATCTTATAAAGTATACCCCAATTTTAGATATAAAAATGTAAGCCATGAAAATTTTAGATACTAAAATGTATTTTTTCCATTAATATTATAGGACTTATATGCAAAAATTAATTTTAGGCGCTAATCTTAAAATCTAGTAAGTTTAGGTATCCAACTGTAATTTGTATATGAAATCCAAATCCATAGAACGGTCAAAAAAGATACTATTATAATTGTATTTATTATAATACTATTGTAGTGGCATTGAGACGCTAGTACCCATTGTAGGACAAGTGACAAAGACGTGAACCTTTACCCTTTGACTTTGCAAGAGTAGTTTCGTTGCCAAAACGGAAGAAGGAGTAGGAGGCAATCCATGCAAGGAAGTGACATGAGCTATTGAAGCAAGTCTTATGTGGAGGAAGGATGCCAGGAGCAACACTAGTTGATTGAAAGGACACCACATCATGAATACATCGACAGAATATCGGCTGCTGGATTCTTGACCAGATATGATATCGGAGCAACATACATAGGGAGTCAATGAAGATCAAACAACAATAGTATATAACATATGCGAATAATTAATGTTAGTAGGGCACTAACTGATTCGGGCCTAATTGTACACTTTTTACCCCTCATTTCTTGATAGTTTGGCTTTGCATTTCATCGTCCCTCGATATATTTCACACTAGGTTGCGCTTGTTTTGATACATTCAGGTCCTAGCACTTGTGGAAGGGTCGAGGGCGAGTTTTAGGACGATTGGAGGTCGAAAAAAGCGCAAAAACCAAAGAAAAGTCCAAAGTCACCGTGACAATTGCCCGTAACAGTGAAGCGCAGGCGTCCAGGTTTCAGGCCATGTTCACGGTTTCCCATTGGAGTTCACGGTCTTCTATGGGCGTGAACTGAAGCCATAAACCGTGAACCTCGTAGCGTCTAGTGTGAATTATGAAGTTACTGACGCAAGGCGAGTTCACGGTCAACAAGACCGTGAACTTTGAGTGCAAACCGTGAATTCATGTGAGTGAAGTGGTGCGTTTCGACACAGTGCTCCAATTTCACGGACGCGTTGAAGAGTTCACGGCCTTGAAATGAGGTTGATCCCGTATAAAATGTGAGCTGAAAGGAAGAGAGAGGGGAGAGCCCCAAAAGGTGGTAGAGCCTTCTTCTTGAAGCCCTAGAGAGAGAAAGTGACGAACCAAGAGGGAGAAGTGGCTAGGTTTGCTTCAAGTGAAGATTTTGGAAGATCCTCTCCCAAGGAGGAGTTATACAAGCACAAGGTCCTTGTAGTTAAAATCGGGATTTTATCTAAAATAAAAAACTGGGGTAAA